GTTTTGTTTTAAATGGTTTCTAGTACAGAATTACTTCCAGTCATTTCCTTGCATATATTCACATATATGAATGTTACATAGTATTACTATGTGTCCCATAGTTATTAGCAAATGTCAGGGTTAGTATAACTAATCAAAATTATTATCATAAAGAAGTTAAAGGAGAGGGGCACCTGGGTGGCTCAGTGGGTTAGGCCTCTGCCTTCAGTTCAGGTCATGTTCCCAGGGTCCTGGGATCGAGCCCCGCATCGGGCTCTCTGCTCATCAGGGAGCCTGCTTCCTCCTCTCTCTCTGCCTGCCTCTGCCTGCTTGTGATCTCTCTCTGTCAAATAAATGAATAAAATCTTAAAAAAAAAAAAAAAAAGAAGTTAAAGGAGAGAGGCTGTTTCTCATCCAGTTGCAGACTGAGGACTCATTTTAATGACTTCTCAGAAAGAGGCTAAGTGATAAATGGGCATCACACTAACCCCAAGTTGAACGGTCAAACCGTTGAAGCTCTGATGTCCAATTTCCCCACATTAATTATAACCAAGGTCAGTCAAAGTCAAGTGGGGTGGCTGATTGTACTCCCAGAAGCAAAATTGGAGATCCAGTTTCTCACTTGCCTCAATTTGCATCATCCAGACATTTTATCCAAAGATCTGATGTTTCAAAGCTGGAACACTTTAGCTCAATTTACTTTTTGAGTCGGCTGCTCGAAGTCGGGCCAGATTTGTAGCCCATTTCTAACATGCATGTTGTGTGCCAAACGCACTCTTGGTTTAATGTTGTTTTTCACTTCCCCTTTACCTAGGTCGTCTTAATCCATGTAAACTTTATCATTGTGTGTGGCTCTTTAAGCCCTCTCTTAAGAACTTTTTGGGATGAGGCAATGAATAAAACACACTTTAGATACATTTCACTATATATCACAGGCTAATTCAAGTCAAAGACCTCAGAGATTTAAGAAGTGGTAATAGAGGGACATTTGATTGGCTTTGCCAGTAGAGCATGACTCTTGATCGCAGGGTCATGAATTTGAGACCCATGTGTGTGTCGAGATTAAAAAGTGGCAAGAGAGTAAAATAGGTAAGGGAATTAAGAGGTACAAACTTCCAGTGATAAAATAAGTAAGTCACGAGGATATAATGTACAGCATAGGGAATATAGCCAATAACTTTGTATAATGACATATGGTAACTAGACATTGTGGGGATTTTATAATGTTGAAAAAAAGTAGCATTTCTTAGCAAATTCATGTTGTCCCTAGGGCAAAATTCAACTTATAAAAATCAATTTGGAGAGTGAAAAGTAAATGAAAGATGGATTCAGTCTGCCCCAAATGAATGTTCCCAGAAGCTTCTAAAATTCTGGAAAGGTTCATCAAAAATGGAGTCACTCGGATTTAAAAAAAAAGTCTGACTGGAAAGGTGCTTGGTCATGGCACATTATGGCATACAGGATAACCAGAGGTGGATTCTTTATTTCACAAGTTTCAAGATACAGTACAAAACGAATCTGTACATCTCTCTATTAACAGGATTTGTTTACACAATTATATTACAATTCACCAGCCTTTATACCGTATTTAATTAAATACAAAAAAAAATTTACAAAAAAGTCTACCATGGTGTTCCTTCCAATGCCAGCTTATGGTCTTTTTAAACTTCTCCTAAATATTGATAGTGGTTATACCTTGATCATATCGACATTATGATTTCTTTTTTTAAATCAAAGAGACTAGTGTCACCTTGTTTGTCATTCCAGACAGGAAAAACTGTGCATGTGAGATGACTTCCTGCACATGGCCAGGATATCCTTCTCATGCACACAAAATTGGGAGTTTTGCTTTTGCAAATAGTCACTTGAAAACACAAATCATTTTTACTTGGGATATTTTAGATCTTCTTGAAATACCAAGTGAAAGGAGAACTTTAGCTTCAAGGACTACTACACATTTAAAAATCAGGTAGTGGCTCAGACAATACGGTGTTCAGAAACTTTGTATCTTCTTTTATACTGGTGAGCAATGACTGAGCAAAAAGATTTTCATGAAAACAGAAGTTTCTTTTGCTTTATTTCTTGCATTCTTCTAGTCATAATATTGTGCAATACATATTAAATTCACTTCCAGAACAAATACTAGCTGTCATCGGGGCAAAAGTAGCCCACATTGCTCTTCTTGGCAGGTAAAGGGGCTGTTTATCTGACGCTGTTTGTTTTGAAATGTGCATGTGAAACATTAGTCCAAACCTCTATAAAGGAAGTGTTCTGCTGATGGAGCTAGACGCTAATACACATGCTCCACACACGAAGGGTTGTGGTCTCCATTCACAGGCTTGCATGCATACATCCAAAATGCTGGTTTGAAGAACAAATAGAAGGAGCAAAGAAAGGAGGGGGAAATGAAGCAAAAAAAAAAAAAAAAAAAAAAAAAAAAATCCTATACAAAATACTTAAGTTTCTTGGAGGCAACAGCAGCTCTTTAATTAAATAAAGCATCAGATCATGGTCAGATCACGGTAGAAGTTTCTACAGCTTCCCAGTGGTCCGGAGCTAGAATAGCTTAGCAGTAAAACTTTCACAAATTAACCTTATATGCACAAGGGTAACAAAACCTCAAGTGTATTAAGGTAAATGATTCCAAAGTTAATCTCATTCAAATGCTAAAATAATGAATATTGGGGAAAAAAAGGCATTTACTTTTTCTGTGCCATTGAATATTAACCAAAAATAAGATAAGCCTTACTCTGAAAACAGAAACAAAAGTTTCAAATACAGAAAGAAAAACAAAAAACCCAAACACCAATGCTACCTTCGTAACATAAAACAGAAGCAAATGGATGGTCTCAAGTCTCTGGAACAGTTGACTAACCACAAACCAAACGCGGAGGAGAATATAAGCTAAGTACTACAGTAGTCACCATCAAAGGCAGGAAGACAGGCTAAAGGGGTCAGGAGACAGGCTGCCCCAGAGAAATGAAACTGCACTCAATCTGCTAACTCTAAATTCTAACATTAAAACTCCTGAATCCCGGAGTTAGTTTAATGTCACTGACATTAACTAGCTTTAGTTACTGTCATTTTATTCAAATGGATGCCATTTGATTAGGTAAGTATTGAGCATTATTTTAGGAGAAACACCAAACCCAGTTCCTATTTGCCTAGGTATTATGTCCCATGAACAGAGAAGAAAAAGGGAGCAAAGCATCTTGAGACAGTTATAAGGACTGAAGTCACAAAGCCACAGAATGAAGTTATTCTAAATATACTGTTCAAATTTCCCGGAGCAAATGACCCAGGGGGCAAAGCAGGTGGTGGAAACAAGCCAGGAAGAGGCTACGCAGAGTATAAAAAGGACAGGGCAGGTAGTGGTAAACTAGCAGGAGGTTTGTTATTGCACGAAGAACATCACCGTGCCTTCCATTAGGTAGCGTGCGCGGCTTCCGGAAATGTCTCTTCAAAGCACGAATGGAGGGAAGTAAAGCTAGAGATAAAAAAATGTGGCTAAAGAAATCAGGTGGACGGATGGTAGAGGGGGAGAAAGGGAAGTTCAGTCATCCTCGAGGCTTTGAAAACATTTAAATACATTAAGACAGTTCCTTTGAAATGAAACGTGGCTGCTCCCGTGAGCTCTACTCATCTTTGAAGGGTGGGGAGAAGAGGCAGTGGCAAAGACACCAACATATTGTACCAACTGCCCTCAAATCTCTCTCAGCCTAAGAGGTCAAACCTGTCTTACTATTTAAGAGCTGCCCAGAGCAACAGGACCCTCTGGAGGGTCAAACCTCCTACCTCTTGGATATGCTCCTATACACATGGTTCTGTGGCCACCTCTTCAAATTTGGAAGCAATTATGTGGGAGTAAAGTTTGTTTACCAGGTTTCTCATAATACTCTAAACACACACAAAGAGCGTATGACTTCACATTGAAAGCCTTCATGTTCATTATAGACTCATTAAATCTAGTTCCAAGTACAACCCCAACTTCAAAAACCAAAGTCTTACAACTCTACAGGTAAACTCTTCAAGTTTTCTGGCAGATGAGGGATTATGGAAAAAAGAGTAGAAAGCTTACTATAAACAGACTGAGGTCAGGAGGCATAGAAAGCCTGCTCAGGTACTAATGTAGTCTCAGACTAGACGTAGGCTGGTGAATACCACCATCTGACAATAAAAAGAAATACAAATTCGGTGTAAGTTTAAATTTCTTCATTTGGAGGATATGTGAGGTCCTCGATTTTCTTTGTTGTTGCTGTGCTCCACACTATTTGACCAGGCAATTTCCAAGTGTCATAGCCTTGATTTTCCTACAGTTACTGGTGGGAGGGTGGTGCATTGGATAGCTAAGGAAGTGGCTGACTTTCTACTATAATAGAAAACTGCAGAAGTAAAAATCGACCTGAACAGTATAAACAGGCTTTGGCTTTCCTCAACCACTGAGTTTAATGCATCTTAGATTCTCTGAGTTTCAGTTTTATAATGGTAGTCACTGTAGGCCACATCCTGGCAATCATGTTTCAAATCTAGAGAATTCAGGAGGGTGAGATCTGTTCTTTTGCAGTAAGAAATGCAAAGGAAAATGGAACAAATGCTTCATCTTTCGGGCAAGTGTGTCTATCTTCTTGGTACCCCACCCAGAGTTCTTTCATATGGTTTTCTAATTTCTCCCACTTAGTCCATCCTCTGGCTTCTGGATCAAGGCTCTGTATACTCAAAACAAACAAGCAAATTACACTGAGTAAGTGGGGGCAAATTCACATGTTAGCTCAAGGAGTCAGTTCACAATGTTTTATATATTCCATTCCAGAGAAGTGAAGTTCACATAAAACTCTTTAACACGCCTTTCAGTCTCTGAAGGAGAGAAGTATGGTAGAAAGTATGACAATCACCAATAATAAGAAACCTCCCAGCCTTCCCTTTTAAAATAACCAATATGTTGAGTATGTATATTTGCATGTGGATTGGTAAAAGTTTCTCAGTTATTGCAGTTCTGAAACGATCTGAAGACTTTGTTTTTGTTTTTTTACTTAAAAGGCAAGTTCTGATTTCAGACTTTCAAACATGTTAAGGTTAAACTTGCAACTAACTGGTTTTTCCTTTTTACAGTGATCAGTTTTTAGTGTTGATGCATAAGACCCTAAAGGTGGTTGACAGAAGAACTTATGCACATTGAGAGAATGACCGAAAGGACCCAAGAAAGACAGCTGGGTAGAGCAGACATTGAGTGTCTCATATGTTTCCAGAAAAAAATGGGGGGCCCACTGAGAGCTGTTATTCCGAACGGCACTGAAACAAACATTCAACTCCGTTTAGGTGAGAGTTACTTATCCCTGAAAATAAAGGCATCAGATTCTAAGCAGCTTTAGGAACTCAATGCTTCCTTGTGCCTCTTCCAGGAGGTGACCGCTGATCCGAAGTCCGGTATCAAATCCAAGTGTTCTCGGTAAACAACTTCCTTGGTTGTCACTGCTCACGGCTGGACACGGTGGCTGTTACTGAGGCGGCTGCTGCTCTGGCGGCCCCTCCTGCTGTGCTGGCACTGGCCGGGGCCCCGGGGGCCTGGGCAGAGGCATGTCTTGGTGCTGCCTCTGCCTGTATGCTATAACTGTTCCCAAGAGCAACGCGATGATGGTCATGAGGTAAAGGTCCCACTCAGGTCCCAAAAGCTGGTCCATGTCAAGCTGGGTGAACATATCTCGAATCTTAATGAGAATAATATAAAAATCATTATGATCACTAAAATGGCAGAGAAGGAACTAGGAAAAAAGTTACATCACAAATTAGAGATGAATACAGAACTTATTAAAATTGTTGGTTTTAGGAACATTTTGCAATGCAGTTTAAAAAAGTGGCTTTAAAAGCCTTCAACTGAAACAAAAAATAATGTCTCAGGAACTGAGTTATTATTTTTTAACAGTAGGTAATACAAGTGTCTAACAGGGTTCCTTTCCATCAGTAATCCAACCCATTCGTTTCCTACCATTTTCCACGGAAAATATTTGCAAGGAATACTGGGGACAGGGAGAGCCAAGGGGGGAATGATCAGTATCCTGATACACCCGTCACCCAGCTGTTGCGACGGCACACCAGCTGAGAACCCTGTTCTAATGACAGCAGGGGACTTCACATCTTCTCTCATGTAACTGACGATGGTAGGAATTCCAGTGTTTAATAGCTGAATGACTAGTACTTTTTAGAGAGGATTTAACTAAGTCTTTAACACCTGAATTTGAACTTAAAAGTTATGTTCTACGTCTATGATACTTTGTTTTAGTGTCACTTAAGAGAAGTCATTACTGATATTTTTGGACTACTACCTACCTACAAAGGAAATAAACATGGGGTATAATCCTTTAGAGGAAATAAAGTTATATAAAATTTAGCACCTGCACCTACAAATATATATGGTGGGGACCATATATATTTGTAGGTGCAGGTGCTAAATTTTTCTGGAAAAAGATTATAAGAAACTATTAACCGTTTCCTGGGGTAGGACCTGTGATAGGAGATTTTGTGTATTCTGTATAGTCTTTCTCATTCTTATCTTACTTATTACTCTCTTTTTTTTTTAGTTGGAATATCTACATGGTAGGATTATGGAGCACTTTACTGTCTTCTTTATACTTCTGAATTAAAAAAAAACAACAACAAAGATTGAATATGGCATGACCAAATCCTAGACTATAATCAGCAGTTTCTTAGTCCTATAAACTGAAAGAAAAGGGTCTGAAATAGACCCGAGAGAAATAGCAGGTTGCCCCACTGTTAGCTTTTCAATTAAAGGAACAAAGATTGTTTCCATTACTGGAGGGTACAGCACGCCTGGTTATGAATTTGCCATGACAAATGCACAAGCAATCGGGAGGAAGGAGCCTGACACCTCTGGCCCCCGGAGTACCAAGCACGGAGGCCCTTGGCGGCACAGGATAGGGTTACAGAAAGGAGCAGCATGGACTCCAATTACATCTGTGTCACACAGGAGGAGAAACCCGTTCTGGAATAGAATACTGATGCTGTATCAACCTGTCCAGAGAGATTTTAACAAAAGGTTAAAATATCCTCCTATCCTGGTCTGGAGTGAACTGAAGTTAAATAGCCCTTGATTCAGCATACATTTTAGGACTTTCAGAGTTAAATCCTGTACCATTATGAGGGAGCAGAGGTAAACCAAATGTAAAAGAGGAGAACCCCAGAGCACCTACCCAGAAATACAGGTAACTGAAGTCAGTGGTTTTGAAAGGAATGGGGAACCCACCTTGATCTGGGTTCTACCATTAGCTTATTTAAGTAGTTCAAAGTAATTTTACAGAACAAAGTTCTAGTGGTGTTGTAAACATATTTCACACTAGCAGAAGAACCTAAAGTACAGCCTGGGCAGGTTCTCAGGTTCTACTTCTCCCCTTTTTAATAGTTCTCCTTTAAGGGACTGGTCTGAGTCACTGACGGGCAGTTATCTGACTTACTGTTTGCTGAATTTAGTTAACTACTCTTTGAGATCGCCAAGGGTTGGCCTCAGTTTTCTCTAGACCAGAAGACTCCCGCATCAATGAAAACTGCTTCAGAACCCGGAGCCACTGTCCAAGGCTACGTGAAAATGTACTGCTCTGTGGCCGCCTTCACCCATACCTGATGCAACATCCTGGATTTCACCGGGGGGAAGAAGGGATGGCACCAGACGCTGGCAGGACACTCCTCCCCTCTCCCTGAACGTTTTAGATACAAACCTCTGGAGTAAGCAGCTTACGTCATTTATATTTTCATTACAAGAGGCATGGAGGGTCGCCTGAATGGATCAGCCAAATGACCAACTCTTGATTTCGGCTCAGGTCATGATCTTCCGGTCTCGGGATGGAACCCAGCTCAGGCCCCACATTCAGCAGGGAGTCTGCTTGACGATTCCCTCTCCCTCTGTTCCTCCCCTCATTCATGCATACTCTATCACTCTCTAAAATAAATAAATCTTTTTTTTTAAAAAGACTTTATTTATTTGATAGACAGCAATCACAAGTAGTCAGAGAGGCAGGCAGAGAGAAAGGAGGAAGCAGGCTCCTTACTGAGCAGAGAGCCTGATGTGGGTCCTGGGATCATGACCTGACCTGAAGGCAGAGGCTTTAACCCACTGAGCCACCCAGGTGCCCTAAAATAAATAAATTAAAAAAAAAAAAAAGAGAGAGAGATATAGAACACTTACATTTGTTTCCCGTATGTACTGCAAGAAATACACCACACCCAATTTGCAGAGTGCTAAGAAGACTGGTACTTGTGCGTCTGGGCTGGCTTCAGCCGCCATGTCATAAAAACGTTTTGCGAGGTGAATGTCCTAGAATATAGGCAGTAAATCAGAATTCATCTCTTGTCAAAGTAAGTAAATATTATTTAGTTTATATATTTGGATATCAGTTTATATACTTAGAACATTAATTTTACCTTTCAAGTTTTAAGATTTCCCGTACCTAAAGGAAAAACCCAACCTGTAACTGGGTAATATTTCTTTAATTATCTGCTTCATTTCAAAAAATTTAACTGAAAAATTTTAAGATTTAGCTCATGTTCCTCCTGCCTCGTGTCCCACTTGCTGTGCAGATGTGCTGTTTACGGCTGCCTTCCTATGCATAACACAGGTCAGGCTCAAGATTTCCAGGGGTCACCTGTAAGTCTCAAGTTAATTTTTCTTACTTAAAACTTCAGTCAGTATAATCAGTTTCTGGTTTCAGTTTGGAGCAGTGATCTTCAAACCTGGTAACATGCTCACGATTTTTCAGAGGTTGCTTGCATATATAGTGTTAAGGGATTCCCATTCTGCACTTCCCTGCCTTAGACATATTTCTGTAAAAGGTGAAACAAGTCATTAAGAATTCGGGCCCAGACTGGAGTGTTCTGCATGCAGATAAAAGCCGAACCGCACAGTGGGATGCTGTGAAATTTTCGTTTTACAACCTCACCTTTTCTATGCCCTGACTATTGTCAAAGAAGACCAAACTCCAAGGAAAGAATTCCATGAGGCATGGGAAAGAAAGGCTAAACGTTAAAAAGGACTTTTTCCACATAGTTCAATATAAGCAGTTACTTTCAGCTGCTCCCCAAACTGCCGCTAGGGTGTGTCATTAGTTAAAAAGAAGGTTCTCTTCTGTTACTAACAGTAATAATATAGTTACTTGGTTTTTAAAAAAATATTACAAGTTTTTTTTTGGACTGCCACATTTTTCAAGGTCATGGACCCAACTTTATGTGGTAACATCGACTTTTGTGTGGGTGATTTAATAGAGTAATTAAATCTTATCAATTACATTCTGATTTACTCCATGTAACAATCTTCATTTAACACTTAATATTTTTCTAGCTGTACTAGATGCTGGACTGAATAGTTTTTAGTAGTATGAGTGCTTCTTTCTCTAAAAAAAGGTGACCATAATGTCTTACAAAAATTAATGGAATCATGTTGATTTTTATATATGATTAATTATTCTTTAAAGTTGCATCTCAGAGTTCCCTCCCCCCAATTCTTATCTATGAAATTCTGTGCTTTTTATCATAGTCTTTATTCACAAGAATTTATATAAGCTATACACTATATTACAAATTAAATTATGAGAATACACATTGATTAATTTTCTTGGCTTCTAATCTATTACAAAAACAGACTGTTAGAGTTCCATTACTTTAAGTCTGATTGTTTTAGGTAAATTATTATGAAGTGTATTCCACAAAAACCGTAACTTATGTGCAATCTTTATATTGGTCACCAAGCACATATTAATTTTATTTGAATTTTAAAAATGAAGTCAAGAAAATAGAACTAAAAAAATGAAAAAATGAAGTCCGACTTGCTGACAGAAGCAAAGTCTGGTCCGGCTGACTGGTCTGTCAACTACGAGATGCTTCAGTAACTTGGTAACATGGCAGACTTTTCCTCAGCTCAATGCACTCGGCCTGCAGTTCCACAGTCTTGATAAAAACTAATATTTAAGTTTCTAACATTAATATAAATGTAAAATATAAAAATTTACATACTGGAATTGAAAAACTGAATATTCAAATGTGGTAAAATAAAAGGTACTTGATCAAAAAATAGTGCATTAGCAAAATGAAAATGAATAACTTGCTTTTAAGCATATTAGGTCAATCAAGTGTCTCTAAGTGATAGAGGGAGGAATATAATTAGTTATTTTATAAATCTTGGTAAAGCCTTTTGGTACTCCACCTAGAAGCTGAGAAAGTGAATGGTTCCAGTGACCAGGGAATAAGTGCATCTTTTGCAAGTCTCCAGTTTCCAACTCTTTGCTTTCAACAAGATTGAAGGGGGACCTAACCAAGTTGTCAGTGATAGATCTCTGGAAATAATCTTAATGACAGATCACTCTGATTTCTGGCATATGTTACAGACTAAATGCTTGTGTCCCCCCTAAATTTCTATGTGGAACCTCTACTCCCTTATGTGATGGTTGCCATTAGGAGGTGAGTCTCTGACATGTTATCAGGATTAGATGAGGTAATAAGGGCAGAACTCTCATAAATGGGATTAGCATCCTTCAAAGAGTCTTTTAAGTGCTTGCTGCTGCTTTACCTCTCTCCTCAGATAAGGACAAAAGCCAGACGATAGCCATCTCTGGCCCAAGAAATAGCGCCTCCCCAGGCACTAAATCTGCTGCCCCCCCCACACTGCAACTTCTCAGCCCCCAGAACTGTGAGAAATCCTGTTATTTAAGCCCCCTGAAAGAAGACAGCATGTAACTCTAAAGCAGTTTAAAGAATTAAGTGACCCTGCTATAAGATTCCCCCCATTTGTATATACTTGTTTATGTGAACAAGATTCCAGGCATATACTTATAAAAATGAAAAATGAAATTCATGCTAAATCTACTGAATAATCCTTAAACTAATTTTTAAAAGAGGCTCCATTCATCTCATCAAAAGATACAAGTTCAGTAATAACCACAAAATTAAAATTTTTGTGAAATTTATAGTATTATGTTGATTTATTCAATACTGTATTGATAACTAACCAACTATGACTAATAATATCTCGTGAATTTTTCTTAACACTTAGGCCTATGATCATAGGAAATAAAATTTAAAATTTGAGTTCAACATACTTTGTTTCAAATTAAGTATGATCGAATGATCAGTAAAATATAAATTCAGGAAGAAAAGGAAAAGATATCATTTTCATTTAATAAGTTTGCTGTGTATTTTAAAAAAATCAATAACGAAGATATTAAAATTTTGGTATTTAGAGTAATTCAATCATTTTTTTAAAAAGTGTTGGTGCTTCATATAGCTAGATTTTAGATCCTTTGGAGCTTATGATGAAAATTTTTTTTTTTTTTTTTTAAAGATTTTATTTATTTATTTGACAGAGAGAGATCACAAGTAGACAGAGAGGCAGGCAGAGAGAGAGGGAGGGAAGCGGGCTCCCTGCTGAGCAGAAAGCCCGATGCGGGACTCGATCCCAGGACCCTGAGATCATGACCTGAGCCGAAGGCAGCAGCTTAACCCACTGAGCCACTCAGGCGCCCCTTATGATGAAAATTTTTAATGCCAAATTAAAAATGTGCAGGAGAACACACAGTTTTTCAAAATCCTCTTAAGGGCATAAAGGCAAGAACGTAAGAATGGTTCTAAAGAATGTGAAACTATATTAGAAAGGTAGAAGACTCAGAAATACATTAATCAGTAGCAAATGTCTTAATTTATTTCAAAATAATGAGAAACCATAGAACGTGGTTGAATATGGACAGACGGTTACTCAAATGAGTTACCGATGGAGGCAGCACTGTACTTCTGTTTTAATCAGTCTGTTTTTGGCTCACTGTCCTAAACACAGCAGTGTGTGTCTGATGACGAGAGATGGGCTTCTGAAATATTATAAAACTGTCTCATAACTTAGAACCTAAAATCTGAGCACATTCCAAAGACAGCCTATTTTCTACAAAAATGCAGACGATTCCCCCAAATCACAATTACACCATTCAAACATTTGTTTTGAAGCAACACTCACCTGCTTAATGCCCAGTCCTTTCTCATGCATATATCCCAGATTGAACATGGCTTGTGCGCTGTGTTGCTGCTCCGATGCTAGACGATAATGAATGAATGCAGTCTCGTAGTCTACGTCAGTGCCAAAGCCATAGAAATGGTAGTCTCCAAGCTTAATTCTAGCCACAGTATAGCCTGAAACAAAATTAAATGCAAAAGTGCCAATAAATAGAGTGTGTTTTAAATAGACAAAGTGTTATTTCTCCTCCTATTAACATGTTTACATAAAATAGACTTTTACTTTTTAGCACATAAACTTTACAACTAATCCTTTAGCCAAGCTATAAATTCAATAAAGACTTAAACTAGAAAAAGGCTTTTTAATAGTCAACAAGAGGTAAAACAAGCTGGGTGGTAATCCCTATTTCATCATCACACTCTTCACATGAGCACGTTCTTGTCTATCACGCCATGTACACTGTAAAGTAGTTCACCTGGCCCACTGTTCAGGTTTGAAGAAGGGATGACCAGGCAATGTTGAAAGGAGTATGTAGAAGAAATATTCAAACAAAAAAAAGGGGAAAGGTTAAGATCTTTTGGGGTTTCAGACTAGTATTTTATTATATATTCTACTCAATTCTCATTTTACACAGCACACTGGCCTCAAACTAAAAACCAAAGAGTAAGCCATAACATGATATAAATGTCCAGTACAAAGACCTCACAGTTCAATTTAGGAACCTGGGCACTAGAACTTCTGTTTTTTTTTTAAAGAGTTTACTTATTTATTTATTTTTAAAAGATTTTATTTATTTATTTGATAGAGATCACAAGTAGGCAGAGAGGCACGCAGAGAGAGAGAGAGGAAGGGAAGCAGGCTCACCGTGGAGCAGAAAGCCTGGTGCGGGGCTCGATCCCAGGACTCTGGGATCACGACTTGAGCTGAAGGCAGAGGCTTCAACCCAATGAGCCACCCAGGCGCCCCTAATTTATTTTATTTTGACAGAGATCACAAGTAGGCAGAGACACAGGCAGAGAGAGAGGAGGAAGCAGGCTCCCTGCTGAGCAGAGAGCCTGGTGCGGGGCTCCATCCCAGGACCCTGGGATCATGACCTGAGCCGAAGGCAGAGGCTTAACCCACTGAGCCACCCAGGCAACCCTAGAAATTCCATTTTAAGAATAACTAACTCATGATGCAAGCAAGGTAAGCAACAGTGGATCTGTCTGCTTAACTTCAAGTCGGCGAATGACATTACTCAGTTTTTTGCGGGAGATAAAGCAAAGCAGAGACCTTGAAGAAAGGTCCCCGGGGGAAGCTCTTACCCAGAGCGGAGCGGCCACTCACCTTGCGAGGCAGCCCTGTTCCAGTGCAGCAGAGCTCTGGGGTAAGTCTCGTTCTCCCCCACAATGGTGGCTTCCCCTACGGGGCAGATGACATAAATATATATCAGGCACTTAAGAAGGACAGGCACTGGACTTTTATGCTTCATTTACAAGCCAGGGTGTAAACATTACTTAAATAAGAATTGGGATATGGCAAAGACTGAATGAAAAAATCATTGTATTGACATCAAACCAGCATTAGAATAAAATAAGGAGTTCAAAGGACTCACTGCCTCCATCCAGGACGCATTATTTCCTGCAGCATGTTGTATCCACAGAACTAATAAGGAGACTACTGAACTGCTTCTAAGGACCTATGTATCTCTGGAAAAACAATGTTGTTGTATCTGCTGTATTTTGAAAGATGGATTTACTGGAAGAAGTTAACTCTGTGATGAATGGCAAATCGATTTCTACTGTCAACTCTAACATGCCGGCTTCGGGAGCTGAGGGAAATGACTCAAGCACGCATGTTGTTCATGTCTATTTACAACAATAAAGAAGTTTCTTTGTGGCTTTTCGCTTTAAGCATGAACAGGTGACGGGATGAGCCTTTGTATTCTAAAGCCAAGGTGGGATGGCGGTGAGCCTTACTCTGATCGAGAATGAAGGCTGCATTGCTCTGCGCCACCTCGTAGCCCTGTTCGGCCAGCAGGAGGTACTGGATCACGGCAGCATTATAGTCGCCGTCTTTATAGCTGTTATAGGCCGTCATAAGCCTCTCAGACCAGCGGCCTCGTTCACATACGTTCTTGAACAACTGTGAGAAGAGGAGAAGAAAAACCCATAACAAAATAAGGAACATATGCCAAAAATCAGTTTTGCACTTTGGCTTCCAGTGACTGTTAGGCTACCTCTGAATTTCTGGCAGCTTAGTTAAATACATACAGAAGTCTGGGATTTTATTTGAAGCTTCCAGTTTGCTTTAGAAGAGGCTTATAAAAATAATAGTAAAGAATTATATACCATTACCCTCGCCAGGCACTGTTCTAGTGCTCGCTTTAAGTACAGTATGTACAGAATTTGCCTTAAAGCTCCCATGAGGTCATGGGGAACACTCCATGAAGTAAGTCCTATTAACCGCCCCATTTCACAACCAAGGAAACTGAAGCACAGGGCGGTTTGGAAATTGCGCCAAGCATTCATCAAATGCCAGCCTGAAGTGCCACTTATGAGAGAGCTAAAGAGACGTTCCCTTTGGGAGACAATAGCATTCCCCTTTACCACAATCATTCAACACAGACTTTTTTGGTGCTGTTTCAGATGCTTTCCAGGTGCTAGAGAGTGCACACAACACCCCCTGTCCTTATAAACGGATTCTAGTGCGGAGAACCACATGAGATCAATAAGCATGACAGGGACACACCGGCCCTGAGTCTTCCCTCAGTGTATCAAAGCCAATAATGGGTCGAGTCTGTTTCTACTTGAGACGAAATCATGGCAAAGAAAACCAGAATTAGGGCGCCTGAGTGGCTCAGTGGGTTAAGCCTCTGCCTTCAGCTCAGGTCATGATCTCAGGGTCCTGGGATTGAGCCCCACATCAGGCTCTCTGCTTGGCAGGGAGCCTGCTTTCCCCCCTCTCTCTCTGCCTGCCTCTCTGCCTACTTGTGATCTCTGTCTGTCAAATAAATAAATAAAATCTTTAAAAAAAAAAAAAAAGAAAACCAGAATTAAAATGACAGACTTTCCACTGGGGAAAAGTGATGTCCTGTTTATGAGTCTGTAGAAAAGCCCTTACCTCCACTGCAGTGTGACACGATCGCATCACACCTGTGCCGCTGGCGTGCATCTGTGCTAGGTTATAGAAAGCCAAGATATGGCCTCCCTGAGAAGCTAAATTAAAATACTTCAAGGCCTGTTTATAATCCCTCTTGACTCCAATGCCATCTGTAACGAAAATCACACGAAAGGTCAGAAATAGTCTTAAAGAAGATTTAGCTGAAGCACCAGAGAAGCCTTACATAATGAGTAAAATTAAATGAAATTCAGAATTCTTACTCAGGGAAGATGTGAATATTACTAATGCAGTTTAGTATATTAATATAGATTAGCATAATTTACAATGAAAAACAAGATGCACAAATCACTGAATTGGGAGAATATTCATCAGCCAGAATGCGATAGATCTCATTTCCATATCACAGTGGCATCTAGTGGGTAACAAGGAATGTAGGTCTTGGCATATCCAGCGTTTGATGCCAATGTTACTTACTATAGTACATAGAGCCGAGCTGCAGTTGCCCATCCACCCAGCCTTGCTCAGCAGCTTTCTGGAAATACTTTAGTGCGAGATCATAATTCTGTAGGAAAAGAGGTCACATGACCACATGATGAGAAAACTCAAAAGGCTGATCTACTCAGAAGTTAGGAGAGTCATTCATTAAAAAGAGTTAACAAAACACAAGATATTCTCAAAGAGCCACTAAAAAGACTACCTTCTAAGTTTTTATAAGATACAGATGGTAGTCTATATCACAGAGGAGTTAATATATTTAAGACTGTGAACAATCCATATGTTCACTTTCAGAAAGCCTACACAATGCTCATTCTGGTTCTTTGGAAAAACCTTGGAACACAAGACCAGGACTTAAGAAACCCTTGTATCTTTCCTATTAACCAACAAATCTTTTTGAAACCTCAATTTTTCTAACATTAAATAAGGAAAATTATTCTCTCCTTATTCATTCTTTCCCTGTGTAGCTTATCAAATACTGTATAATTAGATTTCAAATATTATACCTATCCATGGAGAAAAATTAAAACAAAGATCAGTACTGAATTTTTGTGTCCTGAAATGATAGAAGGAATCAAAATGAGAATACACTACTGTTTTCTGTGCTAAGGAACACCTACAGATTAGAATCCTAAACTTAACTACAGGCCCATTAAATACATTTTACTTGGAAAGATCATACAGAGAAGAGGGCAGCAATGAGAATCTCGGGGCATACAACATGAGGAAGCAGTACAGATGAATGAGAAGCAATGAATTCCAGGGCAGAAAGAGTTCAAGTGACGTAGAATCAAAAAGTCAACAGGAGTTGACATTTGGGAGGTTACTGGTGACCTGCAGAGAGCGGTTACATGGGGCAGAAGTCTGACTGCTAAGAGCTAAAAAGTGAGTGGTAATCACTAATAGAGTTCATTCTTTGGAGAAACCTGGCTTTGTAGTGAAGGACTGGAGAGAAGAGAAGTAGTAACTAGAAGAGAAGGAACAGAACAGAAAGATTTTCTCCCTTGGAATGGGAGAAACAAGCATTTTCTTAGGCTCAAGTGAAGAAGCAGGGAGGGAGAAGTCTTGGAGAGATGGAAGCATAGGTAGGGTAGAGAGCATAGACAGCATAAGAGACAGCTTCACATCTTCAGTAAAAGTGCCAGAGACAGAGCCATTCGAAGAAGGCAGTTAGTACAGTGGGCACAGGGTACTCAGAGAACAGGAAAAGTTTCAGCTTTTCCTATTTCGGTAGATACTTCCCTACCTCACCAGCTGACTGCCTGTTTAAGTCAGAATATTAGACTAAAAACTTACAACTTGAACTCCTCTTCCATAGAGGTAAGCCATTCCAAGTCCACTCTGTCCAACTGGGTTGCCCTGCAAACCAGAGACAAAAGAGTGAAAGGATTCATTAGAAAACAAAAGAAAAAAAAGGAACAAAAAATAGGCAAGATTAAAAAACTACCCAAGAAGTAATTTATAAGCATATTCAAAAAATGTCTTTGCGTTTTTCAATTCAAAATTCTCCTTCCCATCAAGCTAAATGAAATACTGACTTTCAGATATATGGGGGGCAGGGGGTCTTCAATAATTTGCTGAAAAAGAGGAAATAGTACATTTATCTAAAATTAAATTCTGGTGACTTACCTTATGACCACCTGTTGCACGAGTTTACGATAGAAAACATGACTACTGTATTTCTTCTTCTTAAAATTAAAAGTAGGTCACTTTTTGGGTAGTTTTTCATTGGTAACCTCCCTCCCCAATAAAGAAGGAAGATGCCATGGTGTAAAGTCAACCACCAGGTAAAACAGCAATATTGGGATCAGGTGGCAAAGATAACACTTAAGATTACTGGAGTGCCACAAAACAAAGATAATCAATTGTTTTAAGACCTGAAAGAGAAAAATCTAAAATTCAACCTAAACTCGGACAGGCAGAGGCATCTTTTAAAAAGTGTCACAGCATCCCCTCGGGAAATACTCAACTGACATTTGGAACTGAAGTAATACATAGCCGGCGAGGAAATAAACGTACACACTGGAGGCATACAGAGTCTTAAAAATTCATATGTAGTTTTCTCTGGGGCAAAGAAAGCCCAAGTTTTATATTTATGATTATCAAAAGTACCCAGTTATGTAAGTTTTAAAGCTCAAGTTGCAATATAAATAGGACAAATCATAATAACTCTCATTTGCAGTAGTAAAATCAGTATTTCTCCAGTGAGGAAACTTCTCAATGAAATTGAAACAGAGGTTTAATATTCAATCATTTGCACCCCCCAAATAAATTGCTTTTTATTGGAAATTTTTTTTGCTAGTCAGTCCACTCCCATTAATCTCATCTACATAAGTGCTTTCAGTCATTTCAGGCATGAGTTGGTTATGACTAATCCTTCAGTATAATAAACTTATTTATTAAAATAATAATAATATGGCACACATTTCAATACACTGAGTCATGAGGTCTTACCATGTCAGCAGCTTTCTTAAAGTAGTGAAGAGCTGTCTCATTACTTTGTGGTACAATATCACTTCCCTCTGAATACATCTGAAAAACAGAACCTAATTTTATTAAAAATTATACCCTTCTCACCTATAATGTATTTCTATCTTATCTCATTCTGGTTTTTGTTAAGTATCGTGAAATCTTGGAACAGTTTAAAATTCCCCATTGGATATTTTAAATTTAAAAGTAAAACCTTAAAAGTAAACAATATTATTATATCCTCTTTGTCATAACAAATTTCTTACTTTTCTATAAACGTGAATATATTAAAATCAGTTCACAGATCAATCTCAGGAGGAGAAAACCTTTTATTCAAGGTGAATCTTTTCTCTCACTCTATCCCAGGGCAGTCAAATGGCTGGAGAGTTGCTTGGGGTCAGTGATCATATGAGAGAAAGGGTGCTACTGACAATGCCCGCTTCCCTCTCTCTTCCACCACGACTTCCCTCAGGGTAAGAACTAGGGTAGGCCTTAGGTTCAGGAAAAGAAATAACTGAAAGGTTATTTTAAAGGTTTCAAGCACTAAATAACTAGAATACCAGGTACGGAACATGATAAAAGGGCCAAGAGAAAGAAGAACAGAATGACTGAGGCTGTTTTCATCCAAGTATACATTTTTAGAAAACGGCAATGAAAATCTTTTTCTGAGATAGGGTTAATTAGGAATTCAGAACAAGAACTGAAAGGGCTAGAATGGAAAGTTCTTAAAGGCTTAACAAGAATAGATGGGGAATACCGATTTCGATGCTATTAATAGTGGGGATGTCTACATGTATGGTTCTCAGGCCCCAGATAACTGGTTGTGATTATGTGGCAAATACTGGTAAGATTTTTCTATTTGTAAGAATCTTTGTGACAGGTTTATTCTACCTGAGCATCCTAACCTTAGGATTTAGTTATGGATGAAAATATCCACTGATTTATACTGTATTTGCTTTCAAAATAATGAAAAAGGAAGTTCTGAAACTGTGGCATGTTATATGGAATCTATTTGTTAGGTCTCTAGACTTCAGTGTTTTCCTTGCTTAGAAAAGAACTGCATTGAAGGCTGGGTGATGGCCATGACACTGAAGATGATTAAAGCCTACGGACAAATTCCAACAAACTCTTTGTTTGTTGCCTCTACTCATTTGGAAGACAGGCAATTATGACAGACTTAGCAAACAAACCCCCATAGCATAAAGAAAAAAAGTCCTCATTATTGCATATGATACACACAACTCAATGATAGCTAACTTCAAAAGGAAATTAACATACCGATGAGGAAATGCTATTTCTTTACGTTACCTAAGAAAATGCCTGGAAGTCACGCTTACCTTACCATAAGACACAATATCCTTATACTGGAAATTTTATTTCCAGTTTACTTTTGGTAAACTGTAGATTGTAACTACAACATCTGCTTATTATGTAAACACCTCTTGCTATTATGTAAGAGTTCACAGGGTGTACAGTACCTTTCCCAAGAAGGCCATGGCATGTGAATTGCCAGCATTAGCTGCTAAATTGAAGTAGTCGAATGCTCTCTGTAAGAAAAGAATTTATTAAAATAATTAGTTTTTATAGAATCTGCCTTTCGCTTTTAACCAAAATAATCATTTCAGGAACATTTAAAAAAATCTTATAATATGGCAGCATCTCAGTTTAAATTGCATTATGACATCTCCAGGTACCCACCCCTCTTCATGCCCAATCCATCACTGAATTCTGTAACTTTCACCACCCAATTCCTCTTGAATCAACCCATGATCTTCCACTACACTTCTAGGCTAAGCTACATTATCTCACACCTGAACTTCTGGAACTCTCCTCCTTGGTCTCCTTGCCTTTAGTCTTCAGTCACCCAAAGCAACAGTTCAAAACACTTAACATGCTGGTCCTTACAGCCCCTTGACATTTTGCAGGGGGTCTACTGGTGTGAATAGACACTGTTTACTTCAGTACTGTTCAGCTTGCTCTCTGCACTCTGGTCCTTCCTGCCTCGGGACCTGCCACCTCCGGCTTATTAACCTTACTGGACCCTTTCATTCTCCTTAATAACAACAATCACAATTTATTACATGTTTGTTGGTGTGATCATTAAAAAAAAAATATCTAATATTCTAGTTCTATTAAACTTGAAGCTCTGCAAAGACAAAAAGACCAAAGCTATTTTATCTAGCATTGTATTCTGAATGCCTAGCAGTGAACAGGCACATAGCAGGCACATTAATGAATTAATGCAGTTCTGTACTGGGAACTCCTTTTATCCTTCTGAGAAGCCGGTGAAAAAATTTATTGCTGTGTAGGTGTTTTGCAAGTAGGCAGCACATACCAAGGATATCCCAAAACTTGTATAAAAGACATGCAGCAGATTGTTCTCTCACCAGACATTTTTATTAGCCAGTTCATCTGGCCTAATGACATACATTTGAATGACCTAAAGACGATGAAAGCAGTCAAAATGCCTCCTGACTTAAAACAAACCAACCAACCATGGATATTTGGTATAGTTTTAAGTGATGAGTGTATTTTGTTATCATTTACGTCTTAAAGTTGATGGGATATGGAAATGAAATAACTTTAATTAGAATATTTAACTGTTATGGCAGAGTAACAGTTTTATTAGTCTGACAAACATTTACCAATAACTCATTATGTGCTAGGCTTTGTCAGGTGCTGGGAATAAAGTGGCAAAGTCCGTGCTCTTCTGTAACTTACGTTCTAGCAGAGGAAAAACCTTAATTACATAATTAGCAAATTTACAATGGGTAACGGCCACAAATACAGATTTTCGGAAATCGTAACTGTGGTACATGACCTATTCTGGAGTGGGGTTAGGAGTCTAGAGAAACATTAGGGGAAGAGATACTGGAGTTGAATTCTGGAGGATGAGTAGGAATTAGCTACGTAAAGAAAGGAGGCAAGATAATATTCACTCTAGACAGAAGGACTAGCATTCCAGAAATCCCAAGGTAGTTTCTTCACCTTTTCAAAGACCTGAGAAAAGGTCCATGTGCTTGTGACTCAGAAAGCAAGGAACTGGTGAGCTAAGCAGAGACTGGTAAAAATCCTGGAAATCATGTTAAATAAAGGTTTTGGTTTTCAAGCAACTGGCAATTATGGACCACTCAAGAGTTTATTTTTTTAAAAGATTTATAGATAGATTGATTTATGAACGACAGAGACACAGCAAGAGAGGGAACACAAGCAGGGGGACTGGGAGAGGGAGAAGCAGGCTTCCCGTGGAGCTGGAAGCCTGATGTGGGACTCGATCCCAGGACCCTGGCCTGAGCCGAAGGCAGACACTTAACGACTGAGCCACCCAGGCGCCCAGGACCACTCAAGAATTTAAAGCAAGGGAACCACAGGATCAGGTGTGTGGTTTACAAACACAGGCTACTGCTTTTGAAATGCAAGCAGGAGATGACTCACACAAGGTGTACCGATGGATACAAGCGAAGAGATGAGCAAGATTTAGGGCATAAAGTGCACAAAAGCTGGACACAGATCTGATTGCTCTAGTTGTATACTCCCAATTTCTCACAAACTCACCAATGATTTTCCTCAGTTCTATGAAATATTTTCTTTTTTAACGATTTTATTTATTTATTCATAAGAGACAGAGACAGAGAGAGAGAGAGAAGCAGAGGGAGAAGCAGGCTCCCCGCAGAGCACGAAGCCCAATGCGGTACTCAATCCCAGGACATGGAATCATGACCTGAGCCGAAGTCAGATGCTTAACTGACTGAGCCACCCAGGCACCCCTGAAATATTTTCTTTTTTATTTATTTATTTTTAAAAAGATTTTATTTATTTGTCAGAGAGAGAGAGAGAGAGAGAGAGAGAGAGCGCGCGAGCACTGGCAGACAGAGGCAAAGGGAGAAGCAGGCTCCCTGCCGAGCAAGGAGCCCAATGTGGGACTTGATCCCAGGACACTGGGATCATGACTTGAGCCGAAGGCAGCTGCTTAACCAACTGAGCCACCCAGGCATCCCACCCCTGAAATATTTTCTAATAGAAATTGTAAGACATACTTCTACCACATACCTATAGGAAACCAAGTTACTGTGTATGTATTGTTGGCAATATTGAGAACTAGATTTCAGAATTTAAAAAACCCTTCCTACCATTATGAGGTATAATCACATTTTTATTATTTATTAATCAATCAATTTATTTTTTAATTTTAAGATTTTATTTATTTGACAGAGAGAGAGAGAGAGATCAAAGTAGGCAGAGCGGCAGGCAGAGAGGGAGAAGCAGGCTCCTTGTTGAGCAGAGAGCCTGATGCAGAGCTTGATCCCAGGACCCTGAGATCATGAACTGAGCCTAAGGCAGAGGCTTAACCCACTGAGCCACCCAGGTGCCCCAGTAATCACATTTTTAGTCTTCAGTTTTTTCAGGGGTTAGTTGGATCTTGAAAGATCATTTGTGATGACTGTCTAAGTAACAAACTTGATACTGTCATTGATAAGAAATATATCTAGAGCATTGTTTCCTTCTACAACGTGATGTACAAAGCCCTGGGAACAAGAAAGTTACCTGATGATTTTGTTCTACTCCACGCCCTCCATGCAGATGCAGTTGCCCCAGACCAACCTGAAAATTAACAAAAATGAGCAAAAGTAAATGGAAGCAACTGGTGTGTCATTAAATTAGACCAATAAGAAAACATTTGGTCATAAAAAGGTTTCTCTTTAGAATTCAAAAAAGTGAAGACTTAGTCTTAACTCCTAAAGATATTACTCTACTTTAACCTACATTTTTTAAAAACTGAAAATGCCTGCTTTTAATTACAAGGTATCTTTATGAAATAAAGATGAAACAAAGGCGGCTTCAGGCAAACTAAAACTGAATTTGTCACCAGTGAACCCACTCCGAAGGAAATACTAAAGGATGTTTTGTAGGAGGAAGGCAAATTATCCCGGGAAGCCTGAAGATACAGTAAGAAATAAAGAGCAATGGAAAGTTAAACTTATGAATGTATCTAAATTATATGCACGTATGTAAGAATATCTTACACGATTCAAAAATATATAGAATTAAAACCATACAGAGTTGTCTAAAGTTTGGACTGTCCAAGAAATGGCAAAAGTGTTCATTTATACTAGACTTTGATAAAAGAGTAGTAAAACAAAGTCCAACTATCACCTTAGGAGAGGGGAGGAGGTATAATAGCAAAAACAATGAAACCAAGAGAATGTAAGGAAAGAGATATGAAGCAGCATGGAAAAGCAAAATGAAAGAAAGCAAGCAACATAGAAAATGTAAACAAAAATATATTATTCATTACTTTTAATTAAAAGACTGTCAGAATGGATTAAAAAATAATAGTCCGATATGCTTCTAAGAGACATACCTTAAACATAAGAGGTTGAATACAAAAGATAGAAAAGATCCTCCATATGAATATTAACCAAAAGAAAGTGGCATAGCTAGCTAGTATCAGACAAAGTACAATTTAAAGCAAAAAACATTTCTGGAGATAAAAGAGGACATTTCATGATATACAAGCTAGTTTAACAAAAAGATAACAGTATTAAGTCTATATGCACTCCACATGGCCTAAAATGCATAAATCAAAATTGACAGAAATAGAAGACAGAGACAAATCCACACCAAAGTGGGCAATTTAGACAATGCTGTCTCATTGCTGGATAGAAAAAGCAGGCAAATTTAGTAAGGATTCAAAAGATCTGAACAACAGGATTAAGAAACATAACTGACACAGAAAGAATGATACAACCCAAGACTGTAAAATTTACATTCTCTTTAGTAAACAATATTTGCCCAAACAATGGACCATAAAGCAAGTCTCAGCAAATCCAAAACAAATAAAATCATACATGGCATATTCTTCTTCTTCTTCTTTTTTTTTTTTTTTTAAGTTTAGATGTAGGCTCCCCACTGAGCAGGGAGCCCGACATGGGGCTCGATCCCAGGACCCAGGGATCATGCGCTGAGCCAAAGGCAGATGCTTAACTGACTGAGCCACCCAGGCGCTCTAGGGAGGGAGAATCTTAAGCAGACTCCGCAATGGGTGTGCAGCCTGACATGGCACTCCATCTCACAACCTGAGCCAAAACTCGGAGTCAGATGCTTAACTGACTGTGTCACCCAGGTGCCCCGTACAGAGCATATTCTGACCACAGTGTATTAAGCTAGAAATCAACAGAAAGGTTTAAGTAATAAATCTTCCCTTTATATGAAAACTAAGCAATTCACTTCTAAAATCACACATGGATCAGAAGAAATAACAATGAAAATTGAGCTAAATGTAATGAAAACTACAACAGCAAGAAAATGTATTCAACCACATATCAAGAGCTATAAAGTTATAGAAGTTTAAGACAGTACTGATGCACAAGACATGCAAGAGAATATGAACAGGGCATTATTTGCAATCACCCAAATCTGGGAAGAGTAAAATGGGTAAGTAAGTTGTGGGATTTTTATATAATGAAATATCATGGAGCAATGTAAATTAATCATTTCAGCTACATGAAAACACATGGATTAATTTCATAAACATAATGGTGAGCAAAAGCTGATACCAAAAAATGCTGATTTTTTTTTAAGCATAAAATTCAATTTTTTTAAACATAAAATTCAAAACCAAGCCAAACTGATCCATAGTGTTAGAAGTCAGGTCAGAGGGGACTGCTGGGATGCTAGCTGTGCTTCATAGGAGGCTCACTTGGTGATTAAGCAGGGGGCTGTATGCCTCAGATTTATGTACTTTTTTGTATTAAAGCTGTAATTCCAAGATTAAAAAGAACAGAATTATATACTATACCACACATGGATTTTTTTAGCTTGAGTTTTCCACTGAATACACTGAAGTCAGCTTTCCACAGTAAGTAGTATTCTACATAATTTTTAATGGTTGCATAAAATTCCACTACATGGAAGTGTCATAGTTGAGCTAAATGATTCCCTATTTTGGGGCATTTAGATGGTTTTGAATTTTAACTGGCTTCTGATATAAAAGAAACATGTTTAGTTAGACAAGATAATTATATTATAATTTCCATGAGCTAAAATTTGTATCTTTCACTACAGTTTTTTTTTTTTTAAACACAGGATTCCCTTCTGCTAAGTTTTAAAATCAATTGTTCTCAGAAAGTATCATCTGTCTATATATCTAAACCAGAAAAGACTTATAAACTGCACAGAAAAAAAGGCAGTCCTCCTTTTTATATCAGGATTATCAGCCCATGAAATAACAAATTATACATGGTACTTTGACAGATATACCATTCAATTTACATTGAAAAAGACTACTTCTGTCCTTGATCTTGAGAAAATTAATGGTCTAAGATGAGCAAAAGAAACATGAACAGTAAATGGCTCTGAAGGGCATCTGAAATTCCAAAAGTTCCAGAGACTTTTTGAGAGTGGCGGTTTTCATCCTTGGTGACTCCAATAAGAGCCTTCATCATCAGTAAGACACTGTTCTGTTCAAGCAGCAGTTTCCAACCATGGTGCAACTGCCTGGCCAGCTTCTGTGAACTATCAATGCCTACGCTACATCCTAGATGAATCCAAGTGGGGACGTCTTGACAGTCCGAGACTCTTGGTACTTTCAAAAATAATACTACTCAGGTGATTCTAACATGTAGTTAATAATGGCTCAGAGCAATGGAAATGCTTTTATGGATGTAAGTGCTTGCCTCAAGACTGTAATATATAATAGAGTGACATACGCCATGAGATGTTTAAACACATACCTGTGCTTGTACATCCCCTTTTTCTGCTAGGAACTGATAGTATTGAATCAAATCTTCTTCCAGCATTCCACTATTCATTCCTGGATTTTCCACCTCGTCAGGCAGCCGTATTCTCTGTACTACTGAGCCTCCTGTCAGCGAGATATCACTAGCAACTGAAACAGGGGGACGAAGTAGTAACATGGAGGAAGGTCAGAAGGATTGTTCCACAGAGTAGAATTTCAGCTGCGCACCACTGACAGACACTATGCTAACAGTAATCTATAGATTACAAAACAGTAAGTCTTTTCCACAAACTATTAAATAAGTGGTATCCAAAGCACACACACACACACACACACACGCAAAGGAGATCTTCATCAACTAGTGTAAAGATCATTCCACATAAGAGAGTCGATCATGATTATTTCGAGTAGTACAACAAAAGCAGATGTATTTGAAGTTAATTCCATTCTGTTTTTTGTTTCTTTTGATAAGGTGAAAGGCAAAAAAAATAGATACCATGATTGGCAACAAGACGATAGTGAGTCAGTGCCGATTCACAGCTCTGGAGGACTCCGATGCCAGCCCAGTACCGATAACCCTGTGAGATAAGCTCTAGTGAGAAGACTGCAGGCTCACACGCTCCACTGGCATTCTCGTTGGAATGAATAAAGCCACCCGCGCTCAGAACGTACTTCCGCAGTCCCTTGAGCCCAGTACATTACCATCTCATTTATCCTGTTTTAGGTTCTGAGGTAATTTATTTAGCAACTCCAAAAACCAGAATATAGCTGAGAACTAGGAAGTAATGAAGTTCCCACAGAAATCAGAACAGATGCTGTGAACTTTATGGATGAAGTGTGTGTATCTCACATGTAAGAGGAAAATTACTTAGGTTCTTGCTTAGAACACATTCTAATCTTATTGTAAACCTGATTTTAATGAAAATGGGTTGATCTACCAAACCAGCAAAGAAGCAACAAATCAGTAAAATAGGGAAGATAAGAGACTACTAGGAGCAGGCATAGTAACATGAGCAAAAAATGGTTTCAGCCTGAGGAGGATAGCTAATTATAAAGAACAGTGAAAAAAAAAAAGCAGAGCTCTCTTGAGTCATTCAGCACAGACTCAAATAACTTTACAAACTTTAACAATCCTTTTGGCACTATTGTATAATAATGTGTATAATATTTAATGTTCTTATTCTGTAGCCACTATTTAAGAAGATTGGTAAATAATTAAAAAAAAAGATATAGGTCAGAAATATTTGACACACTTTTGCCATATAAAAATATACTTTAAATTTCTGGAAAATTCATCTAAAAGGAACTTTTCAATTACTGTTTGAGGAATAAATGTTTCGATCGATGAAAAAAGCCAATGGAAAAAAAAAAAACCTTTAAAATTAGTGAGAATGTTTCAGAAAGTTGGAGCAACATCCTTGTTTTTCACTGGCTTAAATTACTTCAGCAGTTTACAACTGTCACAGATGACATCCAAGCTCCTTGGCATGATGTACAGCTCATTTACATGACTCTTGATGAATTTCCTGACGTTCTACCTTCCAGCCACACTGAACAGCCTGTATTTTCTTGCAAGCACCACATTTCCTCATCACTGTCCCTCTGCATGTATTGCTCCTGCTGTCTGAATGCCCTTCCACTTCTATTCATTCACTGCTATTTATCCCTTAAGAATTACTTTAGTTACTTCCTTGCTCAGAAGTATCTCCTTCTACCTCTCTTTCCAACATCAGTGTGGGTTAAGAGCTTTTCTAGCTGATTCCTGTAATGACCTCCTTACTTGTGTAAATTTAAATGTAAAACATAAATCAATTTTCATTGTAAAATAAATTCAAATGTAAAATCTCTGATAACTCAACTGAAGAAAAGATTTTGACAAATATTTCCAATTTATAGAAAATAAAAGAGACATTTATCACAAGGGCAATAGCCAGTCATAATTTCGAAGAAAAATTGTGGACTGTGCCAATTTTCATCCATGAAATCTACATGCACGTGTAGATGCAAGTATTGTACCCATTAACAAGAATTTGAAGAATGTTCAACTGAATATTTGATCTTAATGAATATAAGTGCATCTCATTCATAAAAGCTAGAAAAGCTGTGGCCCCTCATGAACCAAAAATTCTGCTCCTCAATGTTACTAAAGTCTTACTTACCAAAACCATGTGCGCTATTAGGTTGCCCCCAAGAGCTCCAAAAGTATAATATACAAGGGCCTGGGAAAGAACAAAAATATCCTTAACTGAACACACGCACACACTGACCCAATTCAAATGGTAGTATACAATAAAGCTTTAATAACATTACCTTTGCCTGACTTGAATTAACACCAAGTCCGGAGGCATAGAGAAAGCCAAGAGCCTGAAATAAAATGATAAAAGTAAGAATTCTTCCCTAGTGATAGTTTATACACAGTCTTATGAACGATGAAAAGCAGCAAGAATCTTTAGATCCTGAAAGACTTGAACAGTCCAAGTATGTACAACTATGGTTAATTAAAAAGCCTCAGAAATGCATTCAAGGTTTTACAAATTACACAATGAAATACAGCTAAACAAATCACTAAGTTTAGCTTGAAGATTAAAGACAGCTTAAAAAAATATTACAAAACCAAAGGTAAACACAAACATGGCTTTTACTTTATCTTGATCAACAGCTATGTCATCACACTGACACATTACCTACCAAAGGAGAATATACAATGAAAACAGTAAGAGGCTACCAAAATAAACATCCTAGCAATAAAAAGGGGTGGCTAGGGTCATGTTGAAGGGGTAACAGAGGAACCTGTCACTTTACAATGCCGAAGCACACACAATTTTTCATTACAAAAACCCAAACAAAAAAACTCCAACCAACCAAACAATGCATTGATAAGGTTCTACCTTTGCCCACTGAGGACCATGAAAGTAAAAGCTAAAGTCAGAAAGGCAGGTGTGTCATGTGCCAGTGTTCATCAAAATCCATGAGCTCTTCCACATTTCCCAGCCCCCACTGCCCTTGCACTTGGGTAAGGCCAAGTGACTAGGATGAGGCAAAGAGAGATGCAAGACATTTTTAGGCCTGGACATTAAAAACTTTCCAGATAATCCTCCAGACCTCTCTTCTCCCTTCAGGAGGGCTCCCCACGTTTCAGATGGTGCAGCTATGTGGCAGAAGCGGCCCTTGACTGAGTCAGCATTGGGAAGAGAGTGACACAAACAAGGGAACCGCATCGACCCTGGCCCTGGAGTGAACAAGGAATACCTCTTTGTAGTGTTGCGCCACTGTGATTTTGGGGCTGTGTCTGTTACATCAGCTAAAATTAATTACCATGGAAGAGTGCTTTGCAGTATGCAATATAAAGCACTGTGGCATTATGGGGTGCTATTATTAGAGGGGAAAGAAGCTTCAGAAGTACAATCGTTTTTCAGAGCCACATATGTCTGTAGAATAAAGAATGCATGTGTGAATTTAGATAAACTGACTTATACAAAGAAGGGAAAAAAATCTTTGAAAACAAACGGGGAGTAATGAAGATGTAACCTGTTTATAAATTAAACCAAAACTGTGTGAGAGTTGCAGAGGGGGTAGGTATTCAGACCTACAGAAAACAATGGCCACAATTTCTGTTATTATTTAAATAGTCTGAAAATATTCCTGCTAATTGTGACTAGAAACTTTACATTTAAGCAAATCCCACACCTCCAGTAAACCTGAATTACTGAGAGCACTTAAAATCAATGTGGTGGCCTCCTAAATCCAGGTGTCAATCTTACTATTACCCATGAGAAATCAAGCAGAGATTTTTTTACCAAATGGTGTGATGTGACATGGGATACAGAACATCCCCCTATGAGGCAGGCTTGGCCAAAAATACTTGACTTGAGTTCATCAGCCTTTAGCTCTGACATCCTCTATGGGAAAAAGAGATCATGAAGACGAAAATAAAGGCCCAAAGGAAGAAACAAACAGACAAACTGAAGAAGGCCATTCTGCAGAACAACTGGCCCTATCTTGAAAACAGACAAGCAAGAAAGGCAGGGACTCTGCTAACATTCATTAACAATCGAGCAGAAGATGTCGTCCTGGACTGGATACTGTTTAGGACAAAAACAGGGATAAAGGAAATGTTTTGGTTCACTGCCCTATGAAGACTGTCTGGGTGTTCTATTTATTGGATGGGAACGGTGAGGGCTACTTATTGAAAGAGCGAGGAAGGGAACAGTAGACAGTGACATCTCATTGTAGTAAGTTCACACGTATAAATACACAAAGAGAAAGGTCAGGAAGGGTATGCATGCATTAACATGTTACCAATGTTCAGGTCTGGGTGGTATAGATATGATGTTTTCTCTCTTAGTTTTTGTTTTTTTTTGTACTGCTTCTGTAGTAAAATATATCTTTTTAAAAAAACACAAAAATTACCAAAAGCTGGAGCATCTGAGCTTTGGAAAAAAGGCAACGGGGAGTGATTTCAGATAAAAAATAATTACCTTTATGTTTCATTCTGTACAGATTTAATTTGGAAAACTACAAATGTAATTGTGGGAAGATGCAGCTGCAAAAGTCCCTCGGGTGACCACAAGTGTTCTTGGACAAGAAGATTGTCCAAGACTGGTAAAATGATCCGCCACAGGATTGGTATCTAAAGGTATTTTACCTTCCAGCCTTACTTGTTCAGTGAGGGCAGAGCATAAAGAATAAACTGCTGTGAAAATAAACAAGTGCTATGTGCCAAGAGATTCTGCAGTGAAAGTACACTTACAGTTTGTCCCTTAGGAGAGCCTTCCTCAGTCAGTTTTTCAAACATCTCTTTAGCTGCCTGGATATTCTGTGTCAGGTAATCACCGAACAAAAGAGCATAGGATACTCTCTCCAAGGCCTTGGTATGATTCATGCCTGCTGCCTTCTGAAGATACCGATATGCTCTTTAAACATAAGCAATTAAAAAGGACAAACAAATTAGCAATATTTTGGAACTGCCATTAAAATTTTTACAGAATCTGGGGGCACTTGCTGGCTCAGTTGGAAGAGCATGTGACTCTTGATCTTGGGGTTGTGAGTCTGAACCTCACTTTGGGTGCAGAGATTACTTAAATAAAAAAAAAATTTAAAAAATTTTTGTTGTTTTTTGCTTTACAAAATCTATGCAGATGCAGAGTAAATAATTTCCTTATTCTAAAGAATCCCTCTGATATTTGATTTGCACTAAGCTATGTTACTTATATATGTAGAAAACATTCTGGGCTACTTTTGTTTTTTACATAAGGTACCAATTCTGCTATTCCAATATTTTAGAATAGTTTAAGAATGAGAAAGAATTATAATACTGGACACCCAATAAATAATCATTGTATTTTTCTTTTAAAATCTTTGCAGACTATAACAAAAGTCAGCTGAAATTAAGAGACATAAAATGTTAACTTGACTTTATGTTCTTTCCAACTTAACTTTATGTTCTTTCCAAATTCCTAAATTCTAGTGTTTGTCTGCAAGATAATTACAAAGCAAAAACAATAAAACACCTGACAAGAATTCCTTTTGTTTTATGTCATTTTGAATTCTGAACAGTATACATATTCTTGGCGCTTGGAAACTGTTATAATTTTAATTCTTTCCATTTTGCTTATTGTTCATTTTTGTGATGAGCATTTATAATCTTTTTAGCCCAAAGCACTGAAATGTGATATAAGTAATACCCTTGATGTCTATAGGTCATATCAGGTTTTCTTAAAATACAGCCTAAGAAATCCTCTGTCTTCAGCAGTGCAGTTAAAAAACAAGCACTTAGCGCTTTCTATCTCAGTAATGGCCTATGTCAGGGAAAGAAAAGACTGGGCAATGCTACCTACTCTCTTTTCTGGCTTTTCTTGTTGCTTCCGTTGAGGATTTTCATCCCTGTCTGGTACATCATTTCCGCTTCCTGCATTTGCCTCCGTTTAGCAGCCTCTTCTTCAGCTAAAAACAAAATGTCAGATGCTTTTAAATTGATTTTACTTTTAAACCAATTATTTATTAAACATCAGTATATGTTCTTTCTTCTATGCAGTTACCACTACAGTGATCTTTCACTCTTTCCCAATCTGACTGTAAGGACATATGCTTTTATGTGTGGACTTTATCTGACTAAAGTTAAGACTTAAAAACAAACAAAACAAAACAAAACAAAACAAAACCCCAACACTCAATAAAATCACTTCCTTGTAAAGAAAGTTATATCAACTTGTTTTTGGAAAGTGCCTTCCTGCTAGTAATTCTAAAATTTTTCATATAAGTCAACTAAAACTCCAGTAGAGCCTTATGATTATAATCAAGGTGAGCTAAAACTGAAGGACAAGAAAACAATAAAAAAAGCAATAGTTAGAAAAAATACTGTTGTAGTCAAAGGACACTTTAGCCTCACCTGAAAGGCTGTATCTTTACAAGGAGAAAATATGTGACTAATTACCTAACAAAGAATTAGTGAAAAAAATATGGATTTTTATTAAATACAGATTCTGATTTAATAGTCAAGTTCTGCTTTTTCCTATGTACTGATACAACACTGAAAATTATAGCATTAGATTTCCCCAAAGTTATTTTGCTACTTTAAGAAAGCATTTTAACAGAAATCTAAAACTTATCAAGAGACATTTGAATATTTCATTAGGAGAAGCGACTTCTTTTTGTAATATAAAAACAAAATTTGATGTATTAAACAAGAGTACCTAATCATACTGGCCCACATCCAAAGATGGACTATATTTGATGTTTTCTCTAAGGAATGCCTAAATATTCTATCAAAGCCATAATTTTGAAAATGTCATCTGGTATCAAAAGAGCTATGTTCAAGGTTTTCTTTGTTCCTTAACAGAAAGTTCCTCCTGAAAATGCCTGTAGAGACAATACTGACATTAACATTTAGGGCAGTTAAATATACTGTATCTATCAAATGCTACCTCAGCACAGCACATTTCACTCAAAGTATTTAAAAAAGGTATTATCTATTTTTCTTCTAAGCACTATTAATTAACCTCAGCATAATGTTCTGTTTTTCTTTATTGCCAAAAAACGTTTTATAGTAATTAATTTAGCAGCCTTCTTGAGGGTTTACAGAACAAGCTGTGCACAGCAACGGAAGATCATCTCTAAATAAAACACAAGTGTGATAAGTTGCCCAACTGAGAGCCCAAAAGTGAGTATACGGCACGCTTCCTGCTCTTAAGTCCATTCTTTAAGACTTACCTATGTCACTGACACTGACCACTTTTGACCAAGGTGGAGAAAGGAGGACTAAAAAAAGGCCTTAAAAATGATGTCTGAGACATAAAACAATGTGGACATGCCTCCTACTGGGCAATACTTACTTTCACAAAAGCCCCACTTTTCATCTGCCTTGTAGTCATAGGTTGTAGCACACCACAATCTGCCATCTTCTCTCCCATCTGATGTACATTCGTCATATTCCTTATCCAGGAACAGAAAAGGGAAGTGGCAGGGCTCCCCATGGGCTGTGCCTTCAATGGCAGTCAGAGCTGAAAAGATAAAAAAAACCCTCTAAACATGAACAGCATTCTGGTATCCATGGATTTAATACTGTCAATTCCAATGATTAGAATTTGAAGACAAAAATACATGATTTTTTTTTTAAATTTTTTAATTTTTTAAAAAAATATTTTATTTATTTATTTGACAGAGAGAGATCACAAGTAGACAGAGAGGCAGGCAGAGAGACAGAGAGAGGGAAGCAGGCTCCCTGCTAAGCAGAGAGCCCGATGCAGGACTCAATCCCAGGACCCTGAGATCATGACCTGAGCCGAAGGCAGAGGCTTAACCCACTGAGCCACCCAGGCGCCCCCAAAAATACATGATTTGAAATGGGGAACATGAAAGGGTCAGCATCAAATTTTCTTTAGCGTGACTTAAGGGTGGGTCAACTTATGAACATGGCTGGCTTAGTATACGTGGCAGCTCTGTATCTAGCTTAGAATTTCTGAAGATCTTGAGATCTGATAACCTCAGAATGTTATAAGTCTACTGTAAAATTCCTGGCTAACTAGCAAGCAAAAAATAAGGCAAATACAACCAGATCAATTTCACCGCTCAGCACAATTCCCCTCTTTTCTTTTTAAGTCAGCTTCTTTAATATGAAGCTATACAGGGAAAATGCTCCCTTAGGTAAAGTTCATCACTCTCACACCTCTGTGATCCCACAGCATTTTAATCAGAGCATGTATGATATAACCTGAGGTTCTTTCTTTACCATACTCTTGCTCCCACTAGACCCTGAGCTTGTTAAAAGTAGAGACCCAAATATCATTCTCAATGGAGAAAAACTGATAGCTTTTCCGCTAAGGTCAGGAACATGGCAGGGATGTCCATTATCACCACTGCTATTCAACATAGTACTAGAAGTCCTAGCCTCAGCAATCAGACAACAAAAGGAAATTAAAGGCATCCAAATTGGCAAAGAAGAAGTCAAACTATCACTCTTCGCAGATGATATGATACTATATGTGGAAAACCCAAAAGACTCCACTCCAAAACTGCTAGAACTTGTACAGGAATTCAGTAAAGTGTCAGGATATAAAATCAATGCCCAGAAATCAGTTGCATTTCTCTACACCAACAACAAGACAGAAGAGAGAGAAATTAAGGAGTCCATCCCATTTACAATTGCACCCAAAACTATAAGATACCTAGGAATAAATCTAACCAAAGAGACTAAGAATCTATACACAGAAAACTATAAAGTACTCATGAAAGAAATTGAGGAAGACACAAAGAAATGGAAAAATGTTCCATGCTCCTGGATTGGAAGAATAAATATTGTGAAAATGTCTATGCTACCTAAAGCAATCTACACATTTAATGCAATTCCTATCAAAGTACCATCCATTTTTTTCAAAGAAATGGAACAAATAATCCTAAAATTTATATGGAACCAGAAAAGACCTCGAATAGCCAAAGCAATATTGAAAAAGAAAGCCAAAGTTGGTGGCATCACAATTCCGGACTTCAAGCTCTATTACAAAGCTGTCATCATCAAGACAGCATGGTACTGGCACAAAAACAGACACATAGATCAATGGAACAGAATAGAGAGCCCAGAAATAGACCCTCAACTCTATGGTCAACTCATCTTCGACAAAGCAGGAAAGAATATCCAATGGAAAAAAGACAGCCTCTTCAACAAATGGTGTTGGGAAAATTGGACAGCCACATGCAGAAAAATGCAATTGGATCATTTCCTTACACCACACACGAAAATAGACTCAAAATGGATGAAGGATCTCAATGTGAGAAAGGAATCCATCAAAATCCTTGAGGAGAACACAGGCAGCAACCTCTTCGACCTCAGCCGCAGCAACATATTCCTAGGAACATCGCCAAAGGCAAGGGAAGCAAGGGCAAAAATGAACTATTGGGATTTTATCAAGATCAAAAGCTTTTGCACAGCAAAGGAAACAGTTAACAAAACCAAAAGACAACTGACAGAATGGGAGAAGATATTCGCAAATGACATATCGGATAAAGGGCTAGTGTCCAAAATCTATAAAGAACTTAGCAAACTCAACACCCAAAGAACAAATAATCCAATCAAGAAATGGGCAGAGGACATGAACAGACATTTCTGCAAAGAAGACATCCAGATGGCCAACAGACACATGAAAAAATGCTCCACATCACTCGGCATCAGGGAAATACAAATCAAAACCACAATGAGATACCACCTCACACCAGTCAGAATGGCTAAAATTAACAAGTCAGGAAATGACAGATGCTGGCGAGGATGCGGAGAAAGGGGAACCCTCCTACACTGTTGGTGGGAATGCAAGCTGGTGCAACCACTCTGGAAAACAGCATGGAGGTTCCTCAAAATGTTGAAAATAGAACTACCCTATGACCCAGCAATTGCACTGCTGGGTATTTACCCTAAAGATACAAACGTAGTGATCCGGAGGGGCACGTGCACCCGAATGTTTATAGCAGCAATGTCTACAATAGCCAAACTATGGAAAGAACCTAGATGTCCATCAACAGACGAATGGATAAAGAAGATGTGGTATATATACACAATGGAATACTATGCAGCCATCAAAAGAAATGAAATCTTGCCATTTGCGACGACGTGGATGGAACTAGAGGGTATCATGCTTAGCGAAATAAGTCAATCATTGAAAGACAACTATCATATGATCTCCCTGATATGAGGGAGAGGAGATGCAACATGGGGGGTTAAGGGGGTAGGAGAAGAGTAAATGAAACAAGATGGGATTGGGAGGGAGACAAACCATAAGTGACTCTTAATCTCACAAAACAAACTGAGGGTTAATGGGGGGAGGAGGGTTGGGGGGGTGGGATTATGGACATTGGGGAGGGTATGTGCTATGGTGAGTGCTGTGAAGTGTGTAAACCTGGCGATTCAGACCTGTACCCCTGGGGATAAAAAGATATTATATGTTTATGGAAAAAAAAAAAAAAGTAGAGACCATATCTCTATTGTTCATAAGCTCTTCTGACTATCTTCTAGGTCCTGGGAATTATGTCAGGTGCTGAAAACAAGGTGGAACAGAGGTCTCTGCTCTATACAACTTACTGCCTAGCAAGGAAGAAAGACATTAAACGCTAAGTGTGATCGATGTTATGGAAAGGAAAACCTCCCCGGTCAGGTACTGAGGTTTACCACTGAACTTCACGGCTGTGCAGGAGTAGAGGGTGGATGAATTGTTTTAGGGTGGGGTAGAAGTACTGTAGATAGAAGGGCCCATGTGTGCTAAGAATCAAATGAAAGACAGCATGGCACTTTAGAAAAAATACAAAGTTCAGTATGTGACAACATGTAGTGTGAGTGCCCAAGTAGACAAGAGAAGAGGTTAAAGCTAGAGCAGCACAAAGAAGCTAGACTAAGAAGGTCCTGATAAATCTGATTAAGGAGTTTGGCCTTTATCCTGAGAACAATGGAAACTCACTTAAAGAGTTTTAAACAGAAGTGACATGCTCATACTTACACATTTTTATTAAGAGAGTGGATAATGGAATGGAGAAAAGCAAGACTGGATTAAGACAACCAGTTTACAAGTTGTGACATTAGGCTAATTGAGAGGTAATGGGAGCCTGAAGAAGATAATGGAATGAAAGGAGTGGATGTACTCAAGTGATGCTAAGAAGTAGATGTGGCACCACTTCCTGATTGACTAGATGTGCAGATGTGAGGGGAGGAGTCATGGAAGGCTCCCAGGTATTAGGCTTCAGGAAGTGAGGGGATGGCTGTCCTCACTAGAACACTAAAGGAGGAGTACATTACTGGGTAGGGATGAAAGGTTCAGGGCAGAGACAAGTTAAGCTTTGATCCTGCTATATTCAAAGTGGCTATAACAAACAAAACCAAAAACAAGATGTCGTAGACATCTTTTCAGCTATAGTCAAAGAGGAAGTTCTCCAGTTCATAGATAGACTGGAAGCCAAGAGTACACATAAGAATATCAAGTGAGAAGTACAAAAGAAGAGCAGAGGGACAGGGTTGACCCCAGAACCATACACGGTTGAGTACACGTCAACTTCCACGGATTGCTTTAACATGGAGAACGTAATTAGGCATCAGAGCTTAGTGATTAAGAGTACAGATTCTGGAGTCAGAATGCCTGACTCAAATCCTACCACTTACTAGTTGTACACTTTGAGCAAATTCACTAATCTCTCCCCTTATCTGTAAAATTATCTGCAGGTAACTTCCTTATCTACAAATAGGGATAAGAGTCCTAGCTACATAGAGTTACTCACAAAGATGAACTGAAATAATACACCTAAGGGACCCACCACATGCCTGCCACTTAAGGTAATAAGCCTTAAAGAGATAACACTGCTACTATCATAGGCACTCCTGCTCTGAAAGCACAGGAAATGGATGCTCCTTCTTCACCTGTGCAAAGAAGAATTCATACTAATTTGAAAACTATTTTCAGTAAGTTATGAAAGGCAAAATTAATTTCAAACTGTTTGCCATCAGGCAAATGTCTTTCACCATCCTGGTAATCACTGACCAAAGGCAAACACTTTGATCCACCTGTGTTTACCAGAAACGATCTTTAGTACAATGTATAAGCAAAGCACCCTTTAGCAACGACCTCAGAGGGATCATTTTAACTACACAGTTTGAAAAAAGGTACTCCTACGTACTGCTACTAGATTCAAATTTGCTTGAGAAAAATAGTACCTGTAAAATAGCAGTTTGTCAATGTGAATTTCAAATTAAAATACAATAGTTTAAAAGAATATTTGATTTTTTTTGATAATAGAAATTTGTTTTAAAAACAAATAGCTTGCCATAAGAATCCCAGTTTGCCAACACTTTCTAAGTGGTACGACTGTTTGAAAGGATTCTCTTTCATGTGATGGAACTATACATCAGCAAAGAAACTGGAAAGAACACCAAGGGATTTTGGCAACAAAGGTTCTAACCTACTGCTCATTCAGCATTTACTTAAGTAGGAAGAATCCCCAGGGTGCCTGGGTTTCACCAATTTAGTGAGAG